CAGGAATGGGTATGTGGTGACTACCGTCCACAGGATGGGTATGTGGTGACTACCGTCCACAGGATGGGTATGTGGTGACTACCGTCCACAGGATGGGTATGTGGTGACTACCGCCCACAGGATGGGTATGTGGTGACTACCGTCCACAGGATGGGTATGTGGTGACTACCGTCCACAGGATGGGTATGTGTTGACTACCGTCCACAGGATGGGTATGTGGTGACTACCGCCCACAGGTTGGGTATGTGGTGACTACCCTCCACAGGATGGGTATGTGGTGACTACCGTCCACAGGATGGGTATGGGGTGACTACCGTCCACAGGATGGGTATGGGGTGACTACCGTCCACAGGATGGGTATGGGGTGACTACCGCCCACAGGATGGGTATGGGGTGACTACCGTCCACAGGATGGGTATGGGGTGACTACCGTCCACAGGATGGGTATGTGGTGACTACCGTCCACAGGATGGGTATGGGGTGACTACCGTCCACAGGATGGGTATGGGGTGACTACCGTCCACAGGATGGGTATGGGGTGATTACCGTCCACAGGATGGGTATGGGGTGACTACAGTCCACAGGATGGGTATGGGGTGACTACCGCCCACAGGATGGGTATGTGGTGACTACCGTCCACAGGATGGGTATGTGGTGACTACCGTCCACAGGATGGGTATGTGGTGACTACCGTCCACAGGATGGGTATGTGGTGACTACCGTACCACAGGATGGTATGTGGTGACTACCGTCCACAGGATGGGTATGTGGTGACTACCGTCCACAGGATGGGTATGGGGTGACTACCGTCCACAGGATGGGTATGTGGAGACTACCGTCCACAGGATGGGTATGTGGTGACTACCGTCCACAGGATGGGTATGTGGTGACTACCGTCCACAGGATGGGTATGTGGTGACTACCGCCCACAGGATGGGTATGTGGTGACTACCGTCCACAGGATGGGTATGTGGTGACTACCGTCCACAGGATGGGTATGTGGTGACTACCGTCCACAGGATGGGTATGTGGTGACTACCGCCCACAGGTTGGGTATGTGGTGACTACCCTCCACAGGATGGGTATGTGGTGACTACCGTCCACAGGATGGGTATGGGGTGACTACCGTCCACAGGATGGGTATGGGGTGACTACCGTCCACAGGATGGGTATGGGCTGACTACCGCCCACAGGATGGGTATGGGGTGACTACCGTCCACAGGATGGGTATGGGGTGACTACCGTCCACAGGATGGGTATGTGGTGACTACCGTCCACAGGATGGGTATGGGGTGACTACCGTCCACAGGAGGGGTATGGGGTGACTACAGTCCACAGGATGGGTATGGGGTGACTACCGTCCACAGGATGGGTATGTGGTGACTACCGTCCACAGGATGGGTATGGGGTGACTACCGTCCACAGGATGGGTATGTGGTGACTACCGTCCACAGGATGGGTATGTGGTGACTACCGTCCACAGGATAAGTATGGGGTGACTACCTCCCACAGGATGGGTATGGGGTGACTACCGTCCACAGGATGGGTATGGGGTGACTACCGTCCACAGGATGGGTATGGGGTGACTACCGTCCACAGGGTGGGTATGTGGTGACTACCGTCCACAGGATGGGTATTGGGTGACTACCGTCCACAGGATGGGTATGGGGTGACTACCGTCCACAGGATGGGTATGTGGTGACTACCGTCCACAGGATGGGTATGGGGTGACTACCGTCCACAGGATGGGTATGTGGTGACTACCGTCCACAGGATGGGTATGGGGTGACTACCGTCCACAGGATGGGTATGTGGTGACTACCGTCCACAGGATGGGTATGTGGTGACTACCGTCCACAGGATGGGTATGTGTTGTTAGGTAAGACATATATGCAACACTTAGGTATCTTTATTATGAAACGTTTCGCCTACACAGTAGGCTTCTTCAGTCAAGTACAGAAAAGTTGATAGAAGCAGAAGATACTTGAAGACGATGTAATCAGTCCATCACCCTTAAAGTTCATGATGGGTATGTGGTGACTACCGTCCACAGGATGGGTATGTGGTGACTACCGTCCACAGGATGGGTATGGGGTGGGTGACTACCGTCCACATGTTCTCTTGCCTATTGGCCACATAAACACTGGAATGTATGTGCTGGCTGTATCTATTGCCCACATAAACACTGGAATGTATATGTTGGCTGTACCTATTGCCCGCATAAACACTGGAATGAATATGTTGGCTGTACCTGTTGTCCACATAAACACTGGAATGTATATGTTGGCTGTACCTATTGCCCACATAGACTCTGGAATCTACATGTTGGCTGTACCTATTGCCCACATAGACTCTGGAATGTACATGTTGGCTGTACCTATTGCCCACATAAACACTGGAATGTACATGTTGGCTGTACCTATTGCCCACATAAACACTGGAATGTATATGTTGGCTGTACCTATTGCCCACATAAACACTGGAATGTACATGTTGGCTGTACCTATTGTCCACATAAACACTGGAATGTACATGTTGGATGTACCTATTGCCCACATAAACACTGGAATGTACATGTTGGCTGTACCTATTGTCCACATAAACACTGGAATGAATATGTTGGCTGTACCTATTGCCCACATAAACACTGGAATGTACATGTTTGCTGTACCTATTGCCCACATGAACACTGGAATGTACATGTTGGCTGCACCTATTGCCCACATTATTCATAATTTATGTTACCTTACCCCCACCCTCTGCTGTCACCCATACCTGACTTCACCAGATTTGATTTCGCAGTTTCATGGTCTCGTGTGACCTGTCTTCCTTCAAGTCTGACTTAATGCTGCTCGTATGCTTTATAAAGCGATATATTTGCTCTTTCCTGTCTACTCGATAAGTCCAGCCTGGTAGATCAGGCTCTGATCCACCAGGAGGCCTGGTCACAGACCGGGCCGGGGGGGGCGTTGACCCCCGGAACTCTCTCCAGGTAAACTCCAGGTTCTTGGCTACCAGCGTCTTCAACTTGTCGGCTTGTAACATTGTCTTAAGAGGAATAAATAAGACAGACAGAGTCAGGTTGTTTGATTTAAGAGAGGCAGGATCAAGAGGACACAGAGTGTATGAAGTCACAGTATCTGGGAGTGATCATGTCGGAGGATCTCACCTTCAAGGACCATAACATTGTATCAATCGCATCTGCTAGAAAAATGACAGGATGGATAATGAGAACCTTCAAAACTAGGGAGGCCAAGCCCATGATGACACTCTTCAGGTCACTTGTTCTATCTAGGCTGGAATATTACTGCACACTAACAGCACCTTTCAAGGCAGGTGAAATTGCTGACCTAGAAAATGTACAGAGAACCTTCACGGCGCGCATAACGGAGATAAAACACCTCAATTACTGGGAGCGCTTGAGGTTCCTGAACTTGTATTCCCTGGAACGCAGGAGGGAGAGATACATGATTATATACACCTGGAAAATCCTAGAGGGACTAGTACCGAACTTGCACACGAAAATCACTCACTACGAAAGCAAAAGACTTGGCAGACGATGCAACATCTCCCCAATGAAAAGCAGGGGTGTCACTAGCACGTTAAGAGACCATACAATAAGTGTCAGGGGCCCGAGACTGTTCAACTGCCTCCCAGCACACATAAGGGGAATTACCAACAGACCCCTGGCAGTCTTCAAGCTGGCACTGGACAAGCACCTAAAGTCGGTTCCTGACCAGCCGGGCTGTGGCTCGTACGTTGGTTTGCGTGCAGCCAGCAGTAACAGCCTGGTTGATCAGGCTCTGATCCACCAGGAGGCCTGGTCACAGACCGGGCCGCGGGGGCGTTGACCCCCGGAACTCTCTCCAGGTAAACTCCAGGTACCATCACTGGAACAATACACGAATAACCTGCACGTAGATAAATTAGACACATGTGCAACTCTTGGGTATCTTTATTGAGGAAACGTTTCGCCACACAGTGGCTTCATCAGTCCATACAGAAGAGAATCTTGAAGTACAGGAGGAGAATAAGGTAATCAGTCCCTCAACCTTGAGTCGATGTGGTCAGTCCATCAATCTTGATGGACTGACCACATCGACTGGTCAGGTACTGACTTTAGATGCCTGTGCAGCTCCCTCTTGAAGACAGCCAGGAGTCTATTGGTAATCCCCCTCATGCATGCTGGGAGGCGGTTGAACAATCTTGGGCCCCGAACATTTACTGTGTTGTCTCTTAATGTACCCATGGCGCCCCTGCTTTTCACAGGGAAAATGTTGCATCTCCTACCGAGCCTTTTGCTTTCGTAGGGAGTGATTTGCATGTGCAGATTTGGGACCTTCTCCCTCTAGGATTTTCCAAGTGTAAATTATCATGTATCATTCTCGCCTGCTTTCCAAGGAGTACAGGTCCGACTTAAACCATTAACTAGCCACACTCTGAGGACACAAATGGAACCGGAAAACATAGATGACCATAAAGATGTAAGGAAGTATCTCTTTAATCTCAGGATAGTTGAGAAACAGAATGAATGACTTAGATAAGACAGTGGTGGAGGCAAACTCAATACACAGCTTCTAGAGTAGATATGACAAGGCCCAAGGCACCAGACGTCAGTGATGGTGATCAAAGTTCATTGTCCTTAATGGAAATAAGTCGCTTTGACTTTTTTTTGGTTTATTTTAGGTAATTTACACTATGTATGGTAATTTTAAATTATGTGTTTTACCTCAAAAAATTCGCTTATAACTTAAGAACGCCTTATTCAATCGGCTTCAAATTTTTGTCACTGGTGTACTGTATCCAGGACAACCTTTGGTGCCATTCCTGTGCCCTACGGGTTTAGCATTCGCCTATAATGAGAGTATTAGAGTAGAAGCGAGTTTGAACTTGGCGGGGTGATGTTGCATGCCGGGATGGCAGAAGACGCGGCCAGAAGACGCGGCTGAGGGACCAATAGTGAGGCTGGATGATGAGCGGCGGTGGTAGTGAGGTCGTCACCGTCACCAGCGTCACACCTCTGCTGCTGCTGCTGCTGCTGCTCTTCTGCTGCTGTTACGCCCATAACACCTACACACCAGGTGAATATACGTAGGTGACTGCCTCACCTACCTCCTGCAGGAGGCTGAAGGTTCCTGAGGTGAGTAATGGGAGGGACGCCTCCCATTACTTACCTTCAATGGTTGCCTCCCATTCCCCCGTCTCTCTCATGGCCCCGACGGGTTTACCATTCCCCGGTGATCCTAATACTGTTGTTTCTTCAAGGGTTGTGCTTTGATGTCGACGAGGTGCTCTTGATCCCAGGAATGGGAGCTGTCCTCCCCTTCCTTGGATCAAAGTGACGTTGCCTCCCATTTCCCCCGTCTCTGTTCTGCCCCTACGGGTTTACCATTCCCTGGTGAACCTGATACTGTTGTTTCTTCAAGGGTTGTGCTTTGATGTCGACGAGGTGCTCTTGATCCCAGGAATGGGAGCTGTCCTCCCCTTCCTTGGATCAAAGTGACGTTGCCTCCCATTTCCCCTCTGTCCTGCCCCTACGGGTTTACCACTTCCAGATAAATCTAATAATATACCCCTTCAAGGACTGTGCATTGATGCCGACGAGGTGCTCTTGATCCAAGGAATGGGAGCTGTCCTCCCCTTCCTTGGATCAAAGTGACGTTACCTCCCATTTCCCCCCGTCTCTGTTCTGCCCCTACGGGTTTATCATTTCCTCGAGAATATATCGATATATCCTCTCAAGACCTGGTCCTTGATGCTGTTGTAAGGCTCTTGATCAAAGGAACCAGAGCTGCCGCCTTGGATCAAAGTTTTAATTCTCCCCTATTTTCCAGGCGCATGGCCCCTACGGGTTTAACTCTCCCTATAAATATGTAATAATCATAGACATAGTACGGCTTTATTGCGCTTTATTTCAGCTACTGACTGTTTTATGTATGGCCCATGCAGGTTTAGTGCTTTTCTGGATACTGTTTAATAATAATTTTATGTATTTTGATGCATTATAATTTTTATTAACTGTTGCATGTGTATGATTATTATAATAATTATTATAATAATTTCTGGGCCATTGATTCGACATTTTGTGGCGAGGGTCTTGATCCAATGAATTGGAGCTACTTGGCTGGCTTAACTTTTAAGGTTTACATGATAAATTATTACAAGGACGCAATGGGAATAAGACGGTTTGACCTATTTTTTTGCGTTACGGCGGGTAATTTCCACACATTACTATGTATAATAATTTGTGTAATCGTATTTTTGTATCTGTACATAAATAAACTTTCCCATTTGTTGGATCGAGTCTCCTACCGTCCCATTACTCGGGTATTCTATAGCCCTTGTGGGTTTAGTGCTCCCCCATACGTATACTTTCAGACTTGTCGTCCAGTACAAAGTTTTCACTTAAATTATGCGCTGCATAATCCTACGGGTTTAGCGCTTCCCCTTGATTATAATAATAATAATCACTTAAATTATTCAATTAACTTTATCATTCTTAAGGTGTATTAATTTGCTATTATAGTTGAATATTTCTAGAAAAATTAAGGTGCCCAAAAAAGTTGGTAGATTTATATACATTGTATTTGCAGAAACAGGCAAGAGAAAAGTTAATATTTTTTATATATTGGAAGATTTTTTAATTTGGAGAATTTCCCAGGGAAACCTAATCGTCACTTTTTTTTTCCCATTGGGGTGTATTGATCCCGTCACCGATGCCAGTCAGCTAACACTCCGGTACCCATTTACTGCTGTCAGGGAAAATAGGTGCAAAGAAGCGTGTCCAGTGTGTCATCAGGTGCCAGGATTAATCCTGGGTTATTTGGGTGTGACCTCCAAGGCTCGTCACTAAGCCACGAGTCACCTGTCTAACACGTTACTGTCAGGTGGTGAGAATTTTAACAAAATCAATATCTATGAAGCCATTGTAGAAGCTTTGTCTTTGAAGTTCCATAGTGTTCAATGGTGCTTCATTCCAGTAAAAGGCTCTTGATCCAAGAATTGGGAATATTCTTCCCTTCCTTGGACAGGACTTAGTCACTGCCTAATCCCTTGACATTGACCTATGAGTTAGTCAGAGGTGGTAAGTGGGGGGGGGCTGTAACCCCCAAAATTCCATCAGCCCTCTAAAGCATCCCACATAAAAAGCATTAAAATAATACTACAAAATTTCCCCAATGGAAATAAGCGAGTTTTTTGGGTTATCCGGGGTAATTTATACTATGATAATTGTACTTGTGTAGCTGTGCCTAAATAAACTTACCTGCCAACCTCCTTCATTTGATCACGGCTAATTCATTCATTCTCAGGTGTTGTATAACTCCTGTGGGTCTAGTACTTGTGAATAGATTTTTGTCAAACTTATTTATAGTCACCCTTAAGACCGGTTTATTAGATTGTGATTTTACAAACTAGTCGTACAATGGTTATCCTGGTTTAATTTTCTTTATCTTTGGTTAAGCTGCACAGTATGCATTTCATAGGTTTAGTGCTTTATTTTAATAATATATATAATTATCTTTGGTAAGACATCTAGATTATACTGCTTGGTTATGGCCTGTATTATAGAATGAATATAACTATAGTGGAAAATGAGTATAACTGAGGTGCTCCTCTGGATCAGACTTTCCTACAAAGATATATTGAAGGGACAGAATGTGCACTCTGGAAAGGTGTAGAATTAGGGAGATATGCTTGAAGTATGCTAATGTAAAAACCAGAATAAACATGGGGGATATAAATAACTTGCCGAAAATATTGAACAAAGCCAGGACTTGCAGCGGTAGATTAAGTTTTAGAAGGGATGTAAGAAATCCCTGGTCTGGCAAGGGTTGTAAATGAGTGGAACTTGTAAGTAGTGTCACTCGAGTGGAAATTTTGGGTAGCTTAAAAATAGGTTGGAATGATAGGTGATTTAAAGGATTTTAGAAGTAATGGACAAAGTTTGATTCAGGTTGTTCTCTCTACTTGAGATAAATGTGTGGAGAAGGTTAATAGTGTTGACTTCTCGGGATGAAGTGGCTGGCTGTAGCTCCTGTTATGTTGATGTGCATGCAGAGTTGTCAGTAGTTGGATATATTAGTACTCAAGTATTCTGTAAAGCATCTCTGGCATGTTTTACTCTGCATAAGAATATCATAGTGGTACACCCCAGTAAGACTGCTGGCCCATGCTAGGCAGGTTTAACTCATCCAACCACACCCACTCGTGTACCTCTTCAATCTATTTTTAAAGCTGTCTAGTCTTCTGCCCATTTTTTTACCTAGTTGACTTGATAATGATCCAGGATATGTTTTCTGACGTTTCTTAAAAATGAATCACTTGTGAATCAGCAGGACCTAGTGGAGAAGAGGTAAAACTGAATACTGCCCTGACCTGCTAGGTCAGGTCAGGTCAGGGCAGTATTCATGCTCTTCTGAAGAGCATGAGAGTCAGCTAAGTGGCCCGTTCACTTTCGATTGATACTTAGTAATGGGTGTATGTGATCTATGGTATATTTTAAGTGATCGTGAAATTTAAGTAGGGTGCATACCTCCCTGCCGAGAATAAGAACAGAAAGAAAGCTCTGCAGCAGACCTACTGGCCTGTGCTAGGCAGGTCCAGGTTACCTACTGGCCTAAGCAGTTAGGTGAAAGTCACCTCCACTTTAAGAAGAATGGACTAATGCATCAAACCCACTGGTCCAAGGCAGGTCCAACTCTCACCCACTAATGTACACCTACCATCCGACTTACGACCTGCTCGACTTACGACTGTTTTATGCCAAATTTCTGGGAAATAAACAACTATTTGTGTTGTACACAGTGTTTATCCTAAACCTTACAGTATAAAATACAGTACTAATGGCATAAAAAGTAAAGTAAAACATGAAATACCAAAATAAAACAATAAAATAGTCATTACAAAAATGTTTTGTTGATATTCAGTAGTAAAGTTCGACTTACGTCCATTTCGACTTACGACCGGTTTCTCGGAACCGAACTCGGTCGTAAGTCGGATGGTAGGTGTATTTGTCTAACCTATTTTTAAAAGTGTACAACATTTCAGCTTCGTTGACGCTACTTGGACGTTTGTTCCATTCATCCACAATTCTTATTACCAAACCAGCACTTGTATGTAGTATGCATTAAAGGAATTGTTAGCAGGGGTGATGTCTCCTTCAGCCTCAAGGAGATGCATTGTTTATCACTGTTACAAGAAACTAAGCTGTCACCATTCTCCCTGACAAGGTATTAGATGGGTGGAATGGCTTGTGCCTTGGATTTTGTGCAAACTAAAGCAATTGATAACAAAGTGTACAAGCAGACGTGTATGTCCATGGAGTTTCGATCAGCAGTATCTGTAGTGGGGGTTCGTAGGAGATATGAAGGTTGGAGTTAAACGCACTTGTTGGATGGTAACACACATATTGGCAGTGTGTGAAGAGGGAGGCCCAGCCTGCCTGTAGCTGCTTGGTAGGTCTAACGGGAACCGAGTAGGATCCCAGGCGTGAAGGGCTCAACAGCGTCACATGACGTCACACATGCTAGTCACTGAGCCTACTGACCAGGGAGCCTAAATATATATACATACATGGATGATACGATCTACAATATACTACACAAGTATATGTATAAGGGAATTCAGTAGCTATACTGACATATCCTCGTGGGTCTACATGAAGCTCTATGGGCTGAGAGACTTGACATCAACTCTGTTGGTGTTTCATGGATGGGTTGTCTTCATCATAATTGTACCCACAACACTTGGATATTGTATGGCTGTCTCAGTGCTGTTCTCCATTCAGTTCACTGAAGAGGAAAAATTCTTCCTTTTAACATCGTTATATTCAAAAGTACTCACGAAATCGTAATGACATGATTGCAAACAAACCATACCACGGGTGGGATTTGAACCCGCGGTCAGTCTCTCTCAAAACTCCAGACCGTCGCATTAGCCACTGGACCAGCCAGCGAGTTTTGAGACTGACTGCGGATTGAAATCCCGCCCGTGGTATGATTCAAAATTACTATTAGTAACTCCCTTCAACTTATTGTGCCCTGTAAATCCACCAACCAAAAAAATTTATTTATGGTTTCTACACTCTTTTGGAACCATAGAGGTGTTCTATTAGATCTCTTTGTAAGAGCTCTCGGAATTTGCTGCCCTTGATAACCCAGAACACTACTGCCTCAAAATTGCTAAGATCTTTTGCATTTTAAAATTTCCTGCTCTCTTCATATGGGGGGGTGGGTTACTGTATTTTGGTTATAAGCAGTTGTCATATTTTTATTCTTTTGTAATTTTTTTCGATAGTGCAGGCAGATGAACATAATTAAACAAGTGTCCCTCACTTTATGTAGTGTACCAAACTGTTAGTCCATGAAAATTAATTCTAGATAATAAAAACCATTTAATATGAACTCTGCTGACTGCATAGATTATAATACATGTGTATGGAATTAATGATAGAAATAAAAGGAATAATAGCAAACTCAAAGCAAGCCTGCATAAAGTGTGGGAAATAAGCACGTTATGCATGTTATTCCAAACTACACACTCTTGAAGATTTGTTTTAGTAGTTATCAGTCCTAAATAATGTTAAATGTTCTGTATAGGAATGTAATGAAGAAAGGACATGTGAAACGACAAAAGGAATTTTTATTGCTTTATGGCAAATGTGTTCATTAATTTTTACACAAAATATTACCACATTCTCCATCCACACGAATCTCATGGCCGCTGCCAGGGGTCCCCATGATTCTTCATAAGACCACTTCATCTGCTTGATTCCCGGTAAAAAGTCAACTTGCCAATCATTTCCAATGCATGCAAGAGTTTTACCATGTTCACCATATCTGATATCTGACAGACTTATAAGAGGGTCAATGGCCAATTTCTGGATTTTTGTTTTAGTTTGCTTCCAACTTGCAGGCAGATCAAAATGTGCTTAAATATATATATATATGATAATTTATTGAATGGTACTTCATATTAATTATATTTTTAGTGTGTATGGCAGTTTCAGTTAAGGAACCTGTCATACTGTAGCAGTCTTGTCAAGAATATTACTGTTCTTGTTAAGACACTTTAGATGAGATCTTTAATGTTTTAATTAGGATTGAACGAGTGAGAGCCATTATTTGGTTTTGTGGTATTGCACTAACTTACTAATGGTCTAATCGGTATACGTATTCTGTATTTTTATGTATAGTAGTGAGCTTTTCTGTTTCTGCTTTGTTATATAGATGTGTAATGGCTTCTTGAAGATAGTCACTGAAATAACTTAATGGATTCAGTCACAACACTTAAAATTCAGAATAAACTAAATTTCAGTAAAGTTGTAATAGTTTCTGTTAAACTGGTATCTCGTGACTGTCTTCGGTAAGCACATCATTGCATTAGTAAAATAAGGTAAACTTGGAACTGTACTGTAGCATAGTATACTGTAAGCCATTGACCCTTTTTATTATAGTATATGCTAATGCAGTGCTCTCCAGATGGTACATAAATGCTATATTTAGTGATCCCAAATGATACTGACTTAAGGTATTTTGTCACAAATTAAAAATAATTTTGAAAGATTGTAACTAGAGCATTTAGCCAATTATGAAGAATTGTCTTCACTTCCTTTTGTGGAGTTAAGACAAGACGACAGCACCACGCACCTACCATCTTCGGGTTGTCCTCCTGACTTTTACCATCTTTACTGCTGCAAAAATTATTTGTAGTTTTCACCCCCGACTTAAAATCATTACTACTGCAAGAACAGTAGTTTTCCCCTGATTGTGACCATCACAGTTGGAAGGGTAACTCAGTAGTAATGAGTGATGAAAATAAATGGTATAAAATACCAACACAATGGAAACATAAACACACATGCAGTTTAATGTGATAATTTATTGACAACGTTTCGCCCACACAGTGGGCTTTTTCAAGTCACAAACAGATCTACCTGGGGTGGACTGTAAATACTCACGTACCTTCCAACCCAGGTAGATCTGTTTGTGACTTGAAAAAGCCCACTGTGTGGGCAAAACGTTGTCAATAAAGGATCACATTAAACTGCATGTGTGTTTGTTTCCAGTAATGAGTGATAGTCAGGGTATCCTATGCTCAGAACTTACCTGTTCAGTCTGTCCTATGGGTAGAGAGTAGTGTCATTTCGAGGCCACAAGATTAGCATTTCTACTATAGAGCCTCGTTAGTTTAATAAACCAAGCCAATTTGTGCATACCCATATGTGCTTAATTGGATCTTAATGTAAGAAAAAGCATTCATATACAGTTTTTATTGCATTTTCTTGTAGCAAATAAATCAGCCTTTAATTTTAGTTTAAATAAATTATCAGATACTCTAGAGGTCAGTGTTCTAGACTAACAAGAGGTCAAACATTTTTTGCTGTAGATAAATGAAATGCATCAATAGAATCCTTGTATGTACTCTCCCTAGTCCAAATGTATATAGTCGAATAAGTATTTATTACCTGATTCATGATATTAAAAAGAAATAGTCCTGTGACTGACCAGGTCAGACTGAGATTAACGAGTACAAGTTCAGAACATAAGATAATAGACTTGGAGGTTTGGAGATGTAGGTGTGAAATGTCAAGAATGTCTTGTCCTGTCACTCCTCTTTTCTCAGTAGTAGATTATGATGACATTGAGAAAAAGGTATCCTCAAGTGGATATACATTCTGCAAGTAGTATATTTCAATGCCTGATATAACTTTGAGGTTAAACTATTGTTTGCTTTGGTTTACTGTACCATATAATTGGTGGCTGTTAAGTATTTTAAACACAAGACCAAAAACTTATTGTGTAGTAGAATTTTCCTGTTCTTGAGACTTAATTTTATTTACCGATTAAAAGATAAAAATTCATCCCTTTTAAAGGGCTTTTACCCACTGACATAAAGTAGCCAATTAGCAACAAAGCCTGTAGTGATATTAATGATTTCAGAATTATTGAGACTGTATAGCATTTACATCTAATAACTTGCTTGCATTGGGTTCACTTGCAGCATTGTAGAGAGCGATTAGGGTAGATGTAGATGTTCTGCTGCCCGTCGCTACTAGCAAGGTAGGGCAGGTGTCGCATGGACCGGTTACCTCGAGCCCTCGTGTTACCTAAGTCTGCCAATGTGATTAATGTAGTGTACTGGAATAAAAATTCTAACTGAATTTTTTTTACAATAGTGTTTTGTCCCGTTTTGGCAAGTGTGTATACAAGTTAACATTTAATCGTGGGTCTGGCTTGATTAACTAGTTAACTTGCAAGCCAATGTTTGGATGTTTTAGTAAAGTTTAATTTTTTGCACAGAACACAAAGAATAAACCTTACTAGAATGATACTACCATCATTCAACTTTATCCAGAATTTATGGCAACTTTGTTCCAGAATTGTGAACAGATGTCACCCTGAAAACCATCCCTTTCCCCCTGACTGTTTTCAAGAGCTACATCTTTAGCGTCAATCTAGCGTTAATTCATTGTAATACACACATGTATCCGCTTTTTTAACAAGTGACCTTTACCCTGTTTACCGCTTATATTTTGTAACCAGCATTTCATGCGTTTTACATTTTAGTTATTGTTAACAGTTTGGAACCTTTGCACAGAACGTAAAATTAGTCTGAGCTAGACAGCTGTTGCTTTTGTCATGTCAAAATGAGCCCATGGGTTTCATTAGAGCAGAAAACCATAAATTGCAACTACAGGTTTTTGGTATAACCGTGAGCAGGAACTCGTTACTTAAAAAAAAAAAAAAAAAAAAAAAAAAACTTTGTTCACGATACTGCATTTGGAATAATTTAAATTGATGCATCTGTTTTGTCAAGTAATTTTATTGAAGAATCCATTATTAATTTTCTTCGGCTTTTTTGCTAGCCCTATATTACATGCTAAATAAGAACGTTTATTGTTGTAGGGTCGTATTTCAGTGTAGCACTGGCAGGATTGCCTTTGGAGATGAAATCGTATTAGGCCATTACAAATATTTCACAAAGTTTCTTCATAAGTTCTTTATTTACAGGATGTCGTCAGACCGCAAAGCCGTGGTAAAGAATGCCGACATGTCAGAGGAAATGCAGCAAGATGCTGTCGACTGTGCCACTCAGGCCATTGAGAAATTCAATATAGAGAAGGTGAGTTTTATTACATTCCTATGGTTAATTTGGGTAGAAAGTATAGTGGACCCCCGGATAATGATATTTTTTCAATCCAGAAGTATGTTCAGGTGCCAGTACTGACCGAATTTGTTCCCATAAGGAATATTGTGAAGTAGATTAGTGCATTTCAGACCCCCAAACATACACATACAAACGCACTTACATAAATACACTTACATAATTGGTCGCATTGGGAGGTGATCGTTAAGCGGGGGTCCACTGTATATAGTCCTTATAACTAAATTGTAACATTGTACAGTATTTTGAAATGTCAAAATACAAAGACTAAATTTCTTAATGAAAGATTTTAAGCTTAGATTCTTGAGTCTAGAATACTGTTGTGTTTTATGATGTCCCAATAATTGCTGGGGCTGTAGATACTTGTGCATAGGTTATCATAGGAACTTGTATAGCCCTTCCCTTCCCTCAATGCTTCCATTCTCCCAGATGGTATATGAACCCTGTGGGTTTATTGCCTTTCCATGAATATAAAACACACTGAGATGTACACACATACAGTATCTGGGTTTAGTGAATGTCACCACCCAGTTTGACACATTTATTTAGTCATTGTTGAAACTCCAAGTTTATTTCATACACAAATGCGTGTACTGTAGACACAACTTTCCTTAGTCTTCAGAGATTGTGGAGTTCCACACTCACCGCTGAATGCTGATTGACTTAGAATCCGACCAGTTTATTCTGATTGACCATATTGATATCATTCATCTATTCTGTATTAGTGTAACCCATCCTGCAATTTTTTTCCAGCAATTGGGATATAATGCATACTCTAAGTTAGAACCAGAAGTTGCTACCTTGTTGCTAATATCTGTTGTATACACTAGCAGCCGACCTTGGCAGCCATTTAGAATACCAATATATTTTTTGAATGCTCATTCATCTTCGATCTTTCCCAATGTTATTGGTGAGATGTGTTTAAGAAAAACGGTAACCTCACTCGTGTCACTACCAAATGTTGAGAGATGCAGCCCTCGGAGAATGCATGCTCATTAGTAAATTACAAAAATTGTTGAATGTGTTGGCCATTAATGTCTTCATACTAGTGTACATGATGTTAGTGAATACTTCTAATGTACTTTGATACATACGCTATATTCTTTGTCAGGCTGATTTAAACACATGTTCATTAAAAAAACAAAACAAGACATCCCGTCATGTGAACACCATTCTTGTACTTCAGGGTCACTCAAACCGAAATAAGAATGGATTACAATAATGCTGTGTATGCACTCTCAGAGGGATGGTGTTTCTGGTTTCTGAAGACCCTGTAATTGCCTTCCACAGTGTCCTTTGCTAAAATGCATTTTCCCCTTGGAATTTAAGGTAGAGTTGAGAGCCATAAAGGTGTGAATAGGAGAGTAAAGGCGGTAATGGATAATAAATAGGTAGACCAAGTGTATACACTAATGTTTTAATATGTTCAGCAACAAAAATAATTGTAATGTATTTTGCTTTAACCCTTAAACTGTCCAAATGTAGATCTACGTTCACGTGCGCAGCGCTGCGACCTTGATTTTCCTCATTTGAAAGCCTGTAAAAAAAAAAAAAGTAGATCTATGTTCGGAGCCCCCGCATGTGGACATAGATCTACGTTTGGACAATATAAGGGTTAACATTAACATGAAAACTTTCATTGTATTTCTTCCTTTTCAGGACATTGCAGCCTACATCAAAAAGGAATTCGACAAGAAGTATAATCCTACTTGGCATTGCATTGTTGGTCGCAATTTTGGCAGCTATGTAACGCACGAGACAAAACACTTCATCTATTTTTACCTTGGACAAGTTGCCATTCTTCTCTTTAAGAGTGGTTAAGATGGCCATTCCTCTCCTCCCCCATATCCAGGCCAAGGGTGTTCACCGTGTTAAATTTGAATTTTAGGAACAGGTGAATATCCTATCTCCCACCCAAACTAATACTTGATACCTCTAACCCTAAAGGGGGTGGAGGGATATAGACCACCATTTCCTAGGGTTGCTAATTTTGTCAGTGCTGCTAGGTTGCTAGCCTAGGGGAACAAATTTCTCCATTTTTACACTAATGCACACATTCTGTTGCAATGCTAAGCAATTGTTAGCAAGAGTTCGAATGGAAAACTCATTTGCTTTGAGAGTGCCATACCTAGCAGCACTTAGCTTTTTGAACTGGTCATGGCACATTTTTACATTTCCAGTTTTCTCAGTGTACCTCTTGATATAGGCTAAAGACCTTTTATATCACCACAACATCTTGAGCTGGTGCCCGAGAGTCACCACTGGGTTGCTGACCAGTGAGAGTGAGATATTGATTAAATATTTGTATCTACTGTGCACAATTCTCATCTCGATTTTCATAAATTGACCTCTTTATCTCGTAAAGTAGGTAGGATTCATTCCCCAATCCATTGTCATGCATCTCAGTTGTCTGGTGTCAGTCCATGTAGGTGCAAAATGTAGAAAGTTGATGCATAATCCTGCCTATATTGAAGCAAGTTCTGTACTTAAACTATTTGCTTGTGATTGTAAACTCTAGCTAGTAGCTTCATCTCCACTCATCTTGAAAGGTAATTCTGATTATCCTCTTTGAGATAATTAATGCTATTGGTTTTTTCAGCTTTCAAATCCAATGGTAGAATTCTTAACCATCCCTCAAGGAATGTGACCCCTGAACCTCCCACTCGTAAAATCTACAGTCACACTGATGAAGTGAGTCACATTTGAGGATTGGTGTACATAAAGTTGTATATTTCATCCTTTGCAGCATCTTGTTTCATAACACTTACCTTCCATGTTGAAAGGTGTATTATGTATCAATTTAAACAGCAGCTTTGCACTAGTTCACATTTAGCTGCTCAATAACATGTTTTGTGCCTCTGAATTAACAGTAATATTCAGATTGTTTAGTTTTGAAGAATAATTTAATGTTTTTATTGATATGAAAAAGTTTATTTTCTATTAAAATTGAGAACAAAGAATAATTCTTATGTTCGGAAAAGTTTATTTCGTCATGTCAAAATGCTCTGTTCTGTGATGTTCATCAAAGTAAATACAATCTATTTATGTGTAATTATGTTTCTTATCCTTTTCTTTTAAGATATTCAGTAATGATGGTGGAAAAAAAGCTTGACAGCTTAAGCTTGAAAAAGTCGAAGTTCCTGGCTCCCAGACCTATTAAGTGCATTCTAGAAGGAGGTTAAAAAATATTAGACAATACCCCATTGACTCGTAAGAGGAAAAGAGGAAACTTGTGTAGTAAGATAAGAAAGAAGTGATAAGAACGTGGTAGACAGCAGCCACCCGGGGAGGTACTACCATCCTGCCAAATAAGAGTAAAATTAAAATGCAATTGTTTTACACTTTGAGAATTGCTGGTGTTTTTTTCTTTGTCTCTTAAACATGCAAGATGACAGGTACATCTTGCTACTATATACAACATACGAATGTACACGTGTACACTCTCCAATCTTAGTTTTCTATTTTCTTAAGTCTTATTCCTTTTTGTCTTTGTGAGGAAATGGAAAGAATCTTCCATATAAATGACTAAATTTACAAAACTAGTTTAAAGTTGAAATTTTTGAATGTGTGGATGTAGTACAGATAGTTTATTTTGAATGTTTTGAAAAGAGGCTGGATGTCGTACCCCTTAAGTGAAACACTGAATCGTAATGACACGATTGCAAACAAACCGTGGGTTCAAATCCCGCCCGTGGTATGGTTTGAAACACTGAAGGGGGCAAGAAAATTTCAATGGGAAAAATGGGAATATGAAGTTTCGGTCCGACTTGGACCATTAACTAGTCGCGCACTAAGGTAAGGGAGCCAATTTATATACGAGAGGAGGAAAAAAGATAATGTAATTCATTGCTGCCTAGTTTCAGCTGTATTCCTTGACTGATCAAGGAAGGTTCCTTGATGCTAGTGAGGGGCTCTTGATCTAGGGAGTTGGATCTGTCTGCCAATTCCCTGAATTAAGCCTAAATACTTTCATCCCCCCACAGGCACTGAAGAATCCTATGGGTTTAGCACTCCCCTATGATTATAATAATGTATGTATTCCTTGAGATATTGGTACTGTCAAAAAAATTCTTTCGATGATAGTGAGCTGGTGAAAGGCTGTTGATTCAAGGAATTAGAACTACACTGGCCCTTGTGGTTTAGCAAAAACTGATAATGTGCGAGTGTGGTGAAAGTGTTGAATGATGATGAAAGTATTTTCTTTTTGGGGATTTTCTTTCTTTTTTTTTTGGGTCACCCTGCCTCGGTGGGAGACGGCCGACTTGTTGAAAAAAAAAAAAAAAAAAAAAAAATTAGAACTACACTTCCTTAGGCTCAGCCTTGATTTCTTGTCACTCCTTAGGTGCTGTGTGACCTTTTTCAGGTTTACTACTTTCCCCATCACTGCTGAAAGTAATGAAAATTATAATCAATGGGAGGTAATCAGGTTCATTTCAAGGAAGGGATAAAGGTTGTTTAGATAAAATTATAATCATGGGAGCGGTAAACCTGTAGGATTATACAGCGCCTGAATCTAGCTCAAAAAGTCACCAGCATCAAGATTTAGATTTTGTCACCGAAGTGGCTAGTTTGTGCACCTCGTATCCATCCTGTGGATGGTAGTGGCTAGTTTGTGTACCTCATATCCATCCTGTGGATGGTAGTGGCTAGTTTGTGCACCTCGTATCCATCCTGTGGATGATAGTGGCTAGTTTGTGTACCTCATATCCATCCTGTGGATGGTAGTGGCTAGTTTGTGTACCTCATATCCATCCTGTGGATGGTAGTGGCTAGTTTGTGCACCTCATATCCATCCTGTGGATGGTAGTGGCTAGTTTGTGTACCTCATATCCATCCTGTGGATGGTAGTGGCTAGTTTGTGTACCTCATATCCATCCTGTGGATGGTAGTGGCTAGTTTTGTGCACCTCATATCCATCCTGTGGATGGTAGTGGCTAGTTTGTGCACCTCATATCCATCCTGTGGATGGTAGTGGCTAGTTTGTGTACCTCATATCCATCCTGTGGATGGTAGTGGCTAGTTTATTGTGTACCTCATATCCATCCTGTGGATGGTAGTGGCTAGTTTGTGCACCTCATATCCATCCTGTGGATGGTAGTGGCTAGTTTGTGTACCTCATATCCATCCTGTGGATGGTAGTGGCTAGTTTGTGCACCTCATCCATCCTGTGGATGGTAGTGGCTAGTTTGTGCACCTCATCCATCCTGTGGATGGTAGTGGCTAGTTTGTGTACCTCATATCCATCCTGTGGATGGTAGTGGCTAGTTTGTGTACCTCATATCCATCCTGTGGATGGTAGTGGCTAGTTTGTGCACCTCATCCATCCTGTGGATGGTAGTGGCTAGTTTGTGCACCTCATCCATCCTGTGGATGGTAGTGGCTAGTTTGTGTACCTCATATCCATCCTGTGGATGGTAGTGGCTAGTTTGTGTACCTCATATCCATCCTGTGGATGCTAGCATAAGAACATATGGATACACAGTCCTAGCAACTGCCTCATAATGTTTACAGTACATTTGGATAAGTTGGTGAGGGGCTCTTGATTTAGAGAATTGGATCTGTGCTCCAGTTCCCCAAAGAAAGCCTGAATGCCTTCCACATCCCCCAGGCGCTGTATAATCCTACGGGTTTAGCGCTTCCCCTTTATAATACATTTGGATTTATGAAATATTTATATAGCCCCCTCAAGGAAGGTTCCTTGATGCCAGTGAGGGGCTCTTGATCTAGGGAATTGGATCTGTCTGCCGATTCCCTGAATTAAGCCTAAATACTTTCCACATCCCCCCCCCAGGCGCTGCATAATCCTACGGGTTTAGCGCTCTCCCCTTTATATAGCATCAAGGAAGGTTCTTTGATGCTGGTGAGGAGCTCTTGATCTAGGGAATTTGATCTATGCTCCACCCCTCAAGGAAGGTTCCTTGATGTTGGTGAGGGGCTCTTGATTTAGGGAATTGGATCTGTGCTCCAGTTCCCCGAATTAAGCCTGAATGCCTTCCACATCCCCCCCCCCAGGCGCTGTATAATCCTCCGGGTTTAGCGCTTCCCCCTTGATTATAATAATCTATGCTCCAGTTCCTTGCCCTTGTGGTTTAGCGCTTTTTTTTTATTATCCTGAATTAAGCCTGAAAACTTAACACATGATCCCCCCTCCCACAGGCGCTGTACGATCCTACGGGTTTAGCGCTTCCCCTTGATAATAATATAGAACCCCTCAAGGAAGGCTCCTTGATGCTGGTGAGGGGCTCTTGATTTAGGGAATTGGATCTGTGCTCCAGTTCCCCGTTGATGTTGGTGAGGGGCTCTTGATTTAGGGAATTGGATCTGTGCTCCAGTTCCCCGAATTAAGCCTGAATGCCTTCCACCCCCCCCCCCAGGCGCTGTATAATCCTCCGGGTTTAGCGCTTCCCCCTTGATTATAATAATAATCCAGTTCCCCGAATTAAGCCTGAATGCCTTGCACATCCCCCCCCCAGGCGCTGTATAATCCTCCGGGTTTAGCGTTTCCCCCTTGATTATAATATAGCATCAAGGTGCTGTATGACCCTTGCAAGTTTAGCGCTTCTTTTTCATTATTATAATAGCAACAAGGTATATCCCACGAGGGAAATTAATTTACTGGTAAAAGAAGAGAAAAGCTTAAATGTCTCGATAAAGCTTTGCCATTTTTTTTTTTCCTCAAATGGGGTGGGGGATATTTCAGGTTTGATCCCCCCTCAAGGAAGGTTCCTTGATGTTGGTGAGGGGCTCTTGATTTAGGGAATTGGATCTGTGCTCCAGTTCCCCGAATTAAGCCTGAATGCCTTCCACATCCCCCCCCCCCAGGCGCTGTATAATCCTCTGGGTTTAGCGCTTCCCCCTTGATTATAATAATAATAATAATCAGGTTTGATCCAAGTATGGTGAACACCACCAGCACAATTTTCTCGGATCAAGAACCTCTTCATTGATTACAAATGTGCCAAAAATTGGTGCCTTTTAGAAGACTTAAAAGTGAGGTCAGAACCAACACGTCAGGGAAAACAAACGTCAAATGGCGGAAAATAGCGCGAAATAGGAGTAACCAAATTTAATCGTGTGTAATCGTAGCCGACGAAGAGTGAATCGTCAATAATTGGGAACCATAAAGTAAGTGAATATCGTAGGTATCCGCAAGTGTTCAGATCCATCTTAATTCCGCCATATTAAGGCTGAAAAGTCAGATAATAGAGAACGCGTTAACTGGACGACATTTACCGCATGCTTCTAAAATAATCCTTCCCCTGTATATCTTGCTACTTACACCTTACAATATATTACCAGGACAAGAACAATATTCTAATTTTTGCTTTCTTCCTCCTCTATGTTATTCACACTATGGGAAGCCCGTAGGTATGTTTAATTCCATAATATAACATGAACAGCCAACTTCAACACCAATATAAATTTGATAAAAAATAATAACCAGTAATATGGAATCTCCCAGATATATTAATTTTTTTTTTGGCTTTAGATTATAAATAAAGTTTTTAAGGGGGAAGGGATTACAGCTTGTTTTGTAGGGAAGTTTGACATGGGGGGGGTTAGTGACCCTTGTGGGTTTAGCGCTTATGGAGTTATTGACAAATATCATTGTTGAAATCGGAAATTAAATTTTTTTTATATATATTACGTATATATAGCCCTTGTGGTTTAGCGCTTCTTTTTTATTATAATTACGTATATATACATTCTATTGTAATCATAATGACGTATATACGTGAGTAAAGGGAATGTACATAGTGAAGACAATGTATATAGTGAAGATGTATATAGTGAAGACAATGTATATAGTGAAGATGTATATAGTGAAGACTGGATATAGTGAAGACAATGTATATAGTGAAGACTGGATATAGTGAAGATAATGTATATAGTGAAGACTGGATATAGTGAAGACAATGTATATAGTGAAGACTGGATATAGTGAAGATAAGTTATATAGTTTAAGACAATGTAATAGTTTAAGACAATGTATATAGTGAAGACTGGATATATGAAGACTGGATATAGTGAAGACAATGTATATAGTGAAGA